CTTTCTGCAGCTCCCCTTCGAACCAGGTGGTGATGTCGTCGGTGGAACCGATGTAGAGGAGATCGTCGACGTAGACGATGAGTAGGATGTAGTTGGCGTCTTTAGTGAGTCGGTACATGCCCTGGTCATGGGGCAGTTGGCGAAATCCGATGCGGATGAGGCGGGTGTGTAAGTGCTGTTGCCACAGCCGTGGGGCCTGTTTGATTCCGTAGAGGAATTTTAACAGTTGGCAGACTTGATTGGGTTCCCCGTGGGTACCGTGAGGTAGCTCGACGAAGATGTCGGCGTCGACAGGTGCGTAGAGGAAGGCGTTGGCGACATCTATTTGTCGCAACTTTTTCTTCTTCATGGCGGCAACGGCGAGAAGAATTCGGAGTGAGGTATGTCGACTAACTGGGGCGAATGTCTCGGTGAAGTCTCGCCCTTGTTCCTGGTCGAATCCTCGCACGACCCATCGTGCCTTGAACTTCTCGATTGTGCCATCTGCTTTCGTTTTGATGCGGAAGACCCACTTCCCGGTGAGAATGGTCTTGTTCCTTGCCACGCTTGCGGTAACGACCTTCCAGGTGTTGCGTTCCTCCAGCGCTTTTAATTCTCTGTCCATGGCTTCACGCCATTTCTCCCTGTGTTCCCCCCCCAGAGCCTGCTGAACTGTCGCAGGCTCTTTAGGAAGAGGGTTGTCGGCGTTCCCGTGGACTGCGGTGACGAGGCCAAGGATTTGCAGCCCAGTCTGTGAGTATCGAGGGAGTTCTGGATCCTCGGGATAAGCTGCTTCGTCTCCCGCTTCTGGGTCGGGTATGAAATTTGGCCCTACCCTTTCTGCTTCGTTGGTGTTGACTGTTGCAGGTGTTACGTAACCGTTGTCGGCGAAATGGTAGAAGACTTCGGCGTTGTTACTGTCGCGAGGATTGTCTTCATCCATGGGCACGTCGACGGAGCAGTACGGGAGAGGTCCGGCTTCCTCCGATGCGTTGTCGACGTTCTGTTCATCCCAGTCTGCTTCGTCCGCTACTGAGGCGAAGGCTCGGTCACCACGAAAGCCACCGGTGAGGTCCCGATTCTTGTGCAAGTTGGCGAGGTACGTCTGAAGGGTGAGTCGTTCGTAGAAGATCACATCACGTGCTGCTACTGTTTCTTTTATGTGGACGTTGAAGATTCTCCACGCGTTGTAATTTTTCTCGATGCCGAGGTGTAGTCCCCACTGTGCCCGTTGCGAAAATCTTCCCGCTCGTGCTTCTGGGGGTCGGTACTGTACCATGCACCCGAAAAATCGTAACATTTTTGTGCTGCCCTGCTTCCCTGTCCACAGCAGATGCGGTGATGCGTTGTTCAGGAGTGACGACGACAACAGCAAATTGTGCAGCATGACAGCATGGTCCATTGCTGCTGGCCACTGGTGGTTGGGTAGCCGCATGCCACGTAACAGTTTGCGCATGCTGTTCTGCAGAGTCCTGTTCATTCTTTCTGCAACACCTTGCTGCTAATGTGCGTAGGGAAGGGAGAGGAGTTGCTTGATCCCCCTTTCCGCCAGGTACTGCTTGAAGCGCTGAGAGGTGTACTCGCCACCTCCGTCTGACTGGAAGCTTTTCAGCTGCGTTCCTGATTTTCTCTCTGCTATCGGTAGCCAAGCGGCGAACGCTGCGAGTGCCATGTCGCGGCTGGGTAGGTTGGGATGCCAGACGTATCGAGTGGCGGCGTCGATGAAGGTAATCGTGTAATTATAGGTCACTTGACCTGGTTCTCGATTGTAGAGGATATCGCTGTAGACCTTTTCGAGTGGTGCGTATGCAGGTGCGCTCGGGTTGTGGTGAGAAGAAAATGATCGATGTGGTAAGTCTGCTTCGGGGCAGATGAGGCAAGTTCCTCGTGCCCGTTGAAGTTCTCTGCCGTCGAGTAGTAGGAGCGAGTCTTTGTCTAACACTCCTGCTCGTATCGTATTGTTTAATACCGTGTTGCTTGGATGTCCTGTGCGTGCGTGCCAGATTTCTTCGGAGGCGCGGTGTCCGGGTGATCGTTGATATGCGTCGGAGTTGGAGTAAAAACTAGCGACGAAGTTGGCGCTTCGGTGGACTTCTCGTTGAGTCGGGTGCAGCTGTTGTGCGGGTGTTGGTGGTTCTTCGTCGACGATGACTGGTGTTGTTGTTCCTGTTGCTGCCGATGTTGTTGCTGCTGCCGATGTTGTTTCTGCTGCTGCCGATGTTGTCTCTGCTGCTGCCAATGTTGTCTCTGCTGCTGTTGGTTGTTGAATTGTTGCTAATGATCATGTTCGCTCTGCTTCAGGGATGGTGTGTGAGTACCAGAAGCCTCCTGGGCTGAAGTCGGGATCGAGGTCCGGAGGGTGTGTCCAGTCGGTAAAGTTGACGATGGCGTCGCTGTCTGCAGTGCCTAGGTCGGGGACGAAGTCAAGGACGAAGACGTTGTTCTTCAACACTACTTTCCCGATGTATAGACCGCCTCTCCCATGGTATAGCTTGAACTCCTGGGTGGTGCTGTCGGCTTCCAAGTAAATCCCCTTCGCCATCAGTTGGCTAACACTCAGTAAGTTGTAACCGAGTCCTTCAGCGATGAGTACCTTTAACATGTGTAGTATGACGTTAGTTTCTCTTGATTGAAGTTGAACGACTCCTTGTCGTCTTGTGCGCAGGTTCTGGTTGTTGGCGACCGTAATGACTACTTCTCGCTGGAGTCGATGTTCGCGTTGTACGAAGCGCCCGGACGAGCACATGTGTTGCCCGCAGCAACTATCCAAGAACCAAGTGTCTTGGCCGGACGGTTCACTTTGAGCGATGGCGGCGTAAGTCGGATTCGGTTGGAGTGATTCGCGGCGAGGCGTCCTGTTGTCGAGCTCTTCTTCTGGTGAGTAGTGGGGTGGTGACTCTGTTGTGCAAGAATCGCTTATCTTCACCATGCAGTTGACTATGTTTCTTGCTCCTTGTGCAGGTTGTCCAGTTGAAGTCGTTGAAGCTTGGATCGTGGTTGTCGGACTTGCTTGCGTTGAAGCAACTTGGGAGCTTGAAGGCCGCAGTTGTCGCTGTGGTGTCGTCTGACGAGACGCGCAATGTGTCAGAACATTATAGCTTACTTATTTGTGTAGGCTATAGTGGGGTATCCCATAGGGGGTACAACCCAGCTAGGGTTTCCTATTTGTACTCACTTCGTTCATAGTTCATCCATTCACTCGTTCATTTCTTCTCATGGTATCAGAGCAGGTTCCCCTGTGGGAACTGTGCTTAGGGCCCACCACCTAAACTTTTTTTTCTGCCCTAGCGCCTTAGTGCCCTAGCGCCCGCCCTAGCGCCCGCCCTTACGAGCGCCCTAGCGCCCACCTCGGCGCCTGCCCTTTCGAGCCGCCCGTTAGAGCCGCCCGTTAGCGCCGCCCTTGCGACCGCCCGTTTGCGCCGCCCGTTCGCGCCGCTCGTTAGAGCCGCCCGTGCGGCCGCCCGTTCGCGCCGCCCATTAGCGCCGCCTGTGCGGCCCGTTAGCGCCGCCTGTGCGGCCGCCCGTTTGCGCCGCCCGTTAGCGCCGCCCGTTAGAGCCGCCCGTGCGGCCGCCCGTTCGCGCCGCCCGTTTGCGCCGCCCGTTAGCGCCGCCAGTAGCGCCGCCCATGCGGCCGCCCGTAGCGCCGCCCGTGAGCCGCCGCCCGTCGCGCCACCCGTTAGCGCCGCTCGTGACCGCCGCCCTTGCAGCCGCCCGTAGCGCCGCCCAACGCGCCGCCCGTCCCGCTGTCCAGACCGCCGCCCACGCGCCGCCCTGACGCCGCCCGACGAACAGCCCGTGCAGCTGCCCGTGTACCCGCCCGTGCACCCGCCCGTACACCCGCCCGTGCACTCGCTCGTGCGCCCCGCCCGTGAGCCGCCCGTGCACCCGCCCGTGCACCAGCCCGTGTAGCCGCCCGTACACCCGCCCGTGCACTCGCCCGTGCGCCCGCCCGTGAGCCGCCCGTGCACCCGCCCGTGCACCAGCCCGTGTAGCCGCCCATGCACCCGCCCGTGCACCCGCCCGTGTATCAGACCGTGCAGCCGTCCGTGCGGCCGCCCGTGCACCCGCCCGTGTTCCAGCTCGTGCACCCGCCCGTCCGCCTACCCGTGCAGCTACCCGTGCAGCAGCCCGTGAGCCGCCCGCTAGCCGCCCACGAGCCACACCGGCCGCCCGTGCAGCCGCCCGAGCACCGCCCGTGCCGCCGCCCGAGCCACCTCAGCCGCCCGCGCCGCCCGAGCCGCCCGAGCCGCCCGAGCCGCCCGAGCCGCCCGAGTCGCCCGAGCCGCCCGAGTCGCCTGAGCCACCCGAGCTGCCCGAGCCGCCAGAGGAGCTGCACTCCTGCTCCTGTCGGACTACTGCTGCTCCTGGGCTGTGTTCCTGTGCCGCTGACCTACCCGACTCTTCCTGCCCGGTGAGCCTGTCAGCTGCTGTCATGGCCACCCCCGCTGTCCTAGCTTTTGACGCTGAGGGTAGAGCCATTGACTTTGCTGTCTGGATTGAAGACCTGCAGCTGTACTTACTGTGTGATGCGGTCGATGAGGTCTCTCTCTTTGACTTTGTCTCTGGCACTGTCCCTGCCCCTCCTGCTGATGCTGACCCTGCCGTTCGCTCCAAGTGGGCGACCCGCGATGCTGCTGCACGTCTTGCTGTGCGTCGTCACCTCCCTTCCTCTGAGCGTGCCCACTTTAGTCAGTGCAAGACCGCTCAGGCCTTGTACGACACTGTAGTTGCACGCTACTCCTCCCCTTCCTCCGCTACGCTGAGCCGCCTCATGCTACCTTTTCTCTTCCCTGACCTCGCTGCCTTTCCCACTGTCGCTGACCTCGTTACCCACCTCCGCGCTAGTGACGCTCGCTACCCGCGCTGCCCTTCCTGCTGAGTTCCGCGCCGCCAACCCTCCTCCCATGTACATCACTCTCTACTTTCTCGTCACCCGTCTCCCTGAGTCCCTTCGTGTCGTTAGGGACCAGTTTCTCTCTGTCTGTCCCACTACCCTCACTGTCGACCTCCTTGAGGAGTCCCTACTTGCGGCTGAGAAGAGCATAGTCGCTGTAGGGGCCTCTCGGGGTGACCCTCGCACCCCCATCTTTGAGGGGTGTTCTCCTTCCCCCCTGCTGCCCTCTGTCGCCTCTACCGCTGCGGCCGACCTCGCTGGTTTTGAGTCGGTCGGTGCGGCGTCTGCCCCCAGCGGTAGACGCCGCTCTGGCAAGGGCAAGGGGGGCAAGGGAGCGGGTGGAGCTAGAGGAGGCAGTGGCGGAGGAGGTGGGGGTGGCGGGGGGAGTGGGGGTGGCGGTGGAGGTGGTGGCGGGAGTGGAGGTACTGGTGGAGGCGGTGGAGGCGGAGGTGGCGGCGGAGGCGGTAGCGGAGGAGGCGGGGGCGAGGGTACCGGTGGGGGCGGTGGCGGTGGGGACGGGGGTGGCGGTGGCGGCGGGAGTGGCGGTGGCAGCGGGGGTCGGAGTGGCTCGTCCCAGCGGAGCGGCTCTGGGGGTGGTCAGCGCCAGCAGCAGCAGCAGCAGCAGCAGCGCTCTCGCACCGTCCCCGCCCCTCAGCAGCTCCGTGAGTGGTACTTGCAGCGTCAGCGTGGTGGTGCGTTTGGTCCCTGCCCCTACGTTCTTCGCACCGGCGACCGTGCGGGGGAGAGGTGTGGAGGCACCCACACAGCTCGCCGCTGCTTTGGCCGCCTGACCGACGCCTGGCGTCAGCAGTTTCCGGAGGCCGCTGAGATCCCCCGCTGGGGGGAACTGTCTAGGGCTGGTGTCGCAATTTATGATCTTGACTTTGATGCTATCCTTTCTGCTATGTATGCTGTGACTGGTAGTGATGAGGATGACTGTTACCGGTGTTTCCCGCCCGACCCGGGCATTGGTACTGCTGCGTCAGGTGCTAGTGAGGCTGCTGCTCTAGGTGCCAGTGCGTCTGTGCTCTCAGGTACTGGTGAGTCTGCCCTCTCAGGTACTGTGTCGGCTTCGGCCTCTCACACCTTCACCCTTGACTCTGGAGCGTCTCGCTCCTTCTTTCGGGACCGCACCACTCTCACGCCGCTGAGTCGGCCGGTTGCGGTGTCCCTGGCTGACCCCTCTGGGGGGCCTGTCCTATCTCGCTTCTCCACGGTCCTTCCGTGTCCGGCGGCCCCCTCTGGCACCCTGTCTGGTCTATACCTCCCCTCGTTCTCGACGAGCCTGGTGAGTGGTGCTGACCTACAGGATGCGGGTGTCCACCAGTTCACTCCTGCTCGTCAGCGAGTGACTCACTGCACGGAGGCTACCACGGGACGCCACCTGGCTACGTTTACACGTCGGCCAGGGTCGAGCCTGTACACACTGACCACTGCTTCTCCCCCAGGTGCTGAGTCTGGTAGGGTCCCTTCGTCTGGTCAGGTGTTTGCCGCGGCGTCCAGGTCTGGTCCTGAGTCTGCCCCCTGTTCGTGTCGCCGTCTGTCTCACGAGACGCTCCTCTGGCACCACCGCCTTGGCCACCCCTCTCTGCTTCGGCTCAAAGGTATGGCCTCCCGTCTTCTTGTGTCTGGTCTTCCCCGGTCCCTCCCTCCCCTTCCTCAGGGCCCTGGCCCTGTCTGTGTCCCCTGTGTCGAGGGGCGCCAGCGTGCTGCCCCTCACTCCTCCCAGTTTCCTCCGACAGAGGCCCCGTTGCAGACGCTTCACATGGACGTGTGGGGCCCAGCCCGCATCCGTGGACAGGGTCAGGAGCGCTACTTCCTGCTCGTTGTTGACGACTACTCGCGTTACACCACAGTCTTCCCCTTGCGCAGCAAGGGTGAGGTTACTGAGGTGCTGATCGACTGGATCCGCGCAGCTCGTCTTCAGCTCAGGCAGAGCTTTGGCTCCGACTTTCCTGTGTTGCGTCTGCACTCGGACAGAGGCGGAGAGTTCTCCTCTGGCCTTCTGCGTGCCTACTGTCGGGCGCGAGGCATCCGCCAGTCCTTCACGCTTCCGGACTCTCTGCAGCAAAATGGGATTGCTGAGCGCCGCATTGGCATGGTCATGGACGTCGCTCGTACGTCTATGATGCATGCGGCTGCCCCCCATTTTCTGTGGCCGTTTGCGGTCAGGTACGCCGCGCATCAAATCAACCTTCACCCCCGGGTCTCTCGGCCCGCGATGTCCCCAGTCTTGATGTGGACGGGGAAGGTTGGCGATGCGTCGGCGTTCCGGGTCTGGGGATCTCGGGCGTTTGTCCACGACTTGTCTGCGGACAAGCTGTCTCCTCGCGCCGCTCCCTGCGTCTTCCTGGGGTTCCCCCCCGACGCCCCTGGGTGGCAGTTCTACCACCCCACCTCTCGACGTGTTCTGTCCTCCCAGGACGTCACGTTCGACGAGTCGGTACCCTACTACCGCCTCTTCCCCTACCGCACTCCGTCCCTCCCCCCGCCCCCGCTCTTCTTGGTCCCAGGTCCCCCCCCGGTAGACCCCCTCCCCCCTCAGGGTCCTGCCCCTTCAGGTGTGTCCCAGGTAGACGCGGTCGAGCCGGTCGAGGTCACTGGTGACTCTGGTGCTGCTGCGGGAGCTGAGCCTGGGGGTGCTGGTACTGGAGGCGCTACGCTTGGGGGTACTGAGTCTGGGGGTGCTGAGCCTGGGGGTGCTGAGCCTGGGGGTGCTGAGTCTGGGGGTGCTGAGCCTGGGGGTGCTGAGCCTGGGGGTGCTGAGCCTGGGGGTGCTGAGCCTGGGGGTGCTGAGTCTGGGGGTGCCGAGCTTGGGGGTGCTGAGCCTGGGGGTGCTGAGACTGGAGGTGCTTCGTCTCGCCGAGAGCCACTCTCCCCGCAGGAGCTGCGTGAGTGGTTTGCCCGGCGCTGGAGGCGTACTGCTGGTGCTGGAGGTTCTTCGGCTACTGAGGGTGCTGCTGCCCGGGCGTCCCGGAGGTGCTCGTGTTGCAGGTACTGGAGCTGCTGGGTCTGAGGGTTCTCCTGGAGCTGGTGCTGCTGAGGGTGTTGGCGCTGAGACTGCCGCTGGCGGTCCGACTTGCCGTGCTCCTGGTGGTGCTGCTGGAGGTTCTGGAGCTACTGGAGGTGCTGCTGGAGGTGCTGCTGGAGCGGGTACTCCTGCTGGGGGTACTGGTGCTGTCCCTGCTGTTTCTGGCGTCGCCGCGCGGCCCCGACCGTACTTCGTTCCGCTCCTGCAGCAGGTTCTTGGTCTTCCACCTTCTCCTGGTCCTCCTCCTCCTCCCTTAGAGGGTCCACAGCCTGTCCAGTCACAGCCACAGCTACAGCCTGCCTCCCCTTTGCCTGCTCCTTCTCCCTACACTGGTCCGACTGGAGGTCTTACTGAGCGTCGTGAGCCTGCGTCTCGTCCTGCGTCGCCTGTTCGTACTGAGCGCGCTAGTGGTCGCGGGTCGCGTCAGCGTCCTCCTCCTGTTCCTGGCACGCACCGGATGTCACTGCGTCCGTCCACTGCTCCTCTGCGTGCCCCTTTGCCTTCTCCTCCTGAGTCCTCTCTTCCTGCTCTTGCCGACCCGGAGTCGGACTCTCTTCGTGCTGCCAGTCCTACTGTCACGCGTCTCCTTGCTACTGCTGTCACTGACCCTTCCTTCGAGTCGTCTGCTGCGTCTGCCCTTGTCTCTGAGCTTGTCGACTTTGCTGCGCGCTGTCGTCTAGACTACACTGCCAGTCTTGTCGCTGAGTCTGAGTCTGCCTGTCCTCCGTCCGTCGGGGGTGAGTGTGCCCTCGGCACGGATGTCCTTGAGGACAGGCAGGAGGAGTTCCAGTGTCTGGCTACCGCTTCACCTCATCTCGCGTCTGTACTGCTAGCCCCTGAGGGAGACCCGGATGCACCAGACATCCCGACTCCGCGCTCTTACGCGGAGGCGATAGAGGGTCCCTACTCCTCTTAGTGGCAGGCAGCTATGGATGCAGAGATGGCTTCCTGGAAGTCCACAGGCACCTACGTCGACGCTGTTCCCCCTCCTGAGGCGAACATCGTCAGTGGCATGTGGATTTTCAGGGTGAAGCGGCCGCCGGGTTCTCCGCCTGTCTTCAAGGCGCGTTACGTGGCTCGTGGCTTCAGTCAGCGGCAGGGGGTTGACTACTTTCAGACCTTCTCCCCCACCCCGAAGATGACCACTCTTCGGGTTCTGCTGCACGTTGCTGCTCACCGTGACTACGAGCTGCACTCTCTCGACTTCAGCACAGCTTTCTTGCAGGGCAGCCTGCACGAGGAGATCTGGCTGCGTCGCCCACCTGGCTTCACTGGGTCTTTCCCTCCTGGTACCCAGTGGAGTCTCCGGCGTCCAGTCTACGGTCTCCGCCAGGCGCCACGTGAGTGGCACGACACACTGAGGACTACGCTCGCGGCACTTGGGTTTGCTCCTTCTACTGCCAACCCGTCGCTGTTTCTGCGCACCGACACCTCTCTGCCGCCGTTCTACATCCTCGTGTACGTCGACGACTTGGTCTTTGCCACAGGTGACACTGCTGGACTCGTCTACGTGAAGTCTGAGCTGCAAAAGAGACACACGTGCACTGACCTGGGTGAACTGCGTAGCTACCTTGGCTTGCAGATCACCCGGGACAGAGTGCGCCGCACCATTACCCTGACTCAGTCACACATGGTGCAGCAGGTCCTTCAGCGCTTCGGCTTCACGTACTCCTCGCCTCAGGCCACTCCTCTGCCTACTCGCCACTCGCTCTCAGCTCTGCCTTCGGATGAGTCCGTAGAGTCGAGTGGCCCGTTTGCAGAGCTTGTTGGCTGCCTCATGTACCTGATGACCTGCACACGTCCTGACCTTGCATACCCTCTTAGCATTCTCGCACGCTATGTTGCTCCTGGGAGACACCGACCAGAGCACATGGCTGCAGCGAAGAGGGTGTTGCGCTACTTGTGCAGTACGTCGGGCATGGGGCTAGTGCTTGGAGGGCGCAGTCCAGTGGTCCTCACTGGGCACGCAGACGCTTCTTGGGCTGACGACCAGGCTACTCAGCGGTCGTCACAGGGTTACACCTTCAGCCTTGGTTCCGGCTCTGTCTCGTGGCGGGCTACCCGCTCGTCTTCTGTTCTCGGCTCGAGTTGTGAGGCTGAGATCTACGCTGGGGCTATGGCTGCACAGGAGTTACGCTGGCTCACCTACCTGCTGACCGACCTTGGAGAGCAGCCTCGTTCTCCTCCAGTCCTGTACGTAGACAACAAGGCCATGCTGGCCTTGTGTCGAGAGCAGCGACTGAAGCACAGAACGAAGCACATTGCCCTCCGCTACTTTCTTGCTCGTGAGCTGCAGCAGCGTGGACAGTTGCGACTTGCGTACGTGGCCTCTGAGGCCAACACTGCTGATGTCTTCACTAAGGCACTTGCGCCTTGTGATCATCAGCGTTGTTGCACGCAGTTGGGTCTTGTGCCTGTCTTGCCTCACTTGCTCACTTCTTGACCTTGCTTGTACCTTCACCTATATATACTCTTGCTCTTGTTTGCTTGACTCTTGTATATCTCTATATATGATCTTGCATGTGAACTGGCCTTCTGGCCTTTGAACTTGTGCTCGGAATGTGTGGTGACTTTGTGATCCACCCTGAGCTTTGCTTTGTTTTGCTTGACTGGTCTTGTGACCCCTTGTTCTCCCCCACTTTGCCTATGGGGGTGTGTCAGAACATTATAGCTTACTTATTTGTGTAGGCTATAGTGGGGTATCCCATAGGGGGTACAACCCAGCTAGGGTTTCCTATTTGTACTCACTTCGTTCATAGTTCATCCATTCACTCGTTCATTTCTTCTCACAATGCGTGCGAGGATGGCCCGAGGTTTTGCAGATGTGGCAGAACGGAGGTACCGTTTTCACTTGCTGTTGTCGATTGTTGTTGCCGTTGTGTCGTCGCTGAATGTGAAAAGCAAATTCTGGTGCTAAAGCTTTCTTCTTGTGTCTTTC